ACCAAAACGGTGTAATGATAATGTAAAATGGGGCATAAAAGAGCCATAAGCTCATAGATAGCTTTGACTGTTCGTATACAGACAGAGCACAAAAAGGAAGTAAACTTCCCAGAACAGACAGTGTCACAGTTAAGTACCATTAACTGATTAGGAATATAGAACAAATACTGTTATTGTTTTGCTGCCTATTTTCAAAAGATACAATGATAGACCCGTGTCTGGTGATCGGCAAGTTCATGCGTGTGGTCTTCGAACTTCTCGCATTGATTGCATACACTTTACTATCGTGGTAACCGGCTCATACTAAGACTAAGCGGAATCATCAATTTTTTTTTCAGATACTGTCCACAGTTAGACCAGATTAGTTTCTATACCTGACGCTAATGAAGGCCAGCGTTGTATGCTATCTCTTAACTCCGACTGGAAGCCTCTCGTGGAAATGAGTTATACACACTGGTTTGAGTGCACATCCTTAAATAAAGCACTCGGACACCGGGCCACTGATCAAACCCTTTTCGTTTTTCTTATACCAAATATAGCACAACCCATGTTTGTGAGCCTAATATGAGTATCGCTCTTTGCGCATCTCAACCAGCATTAACGTCCAGGGTTGCGACTTTGTTGGAAACATTTCAACCTGATTACATGATACATATTACTCGGGTTGAACTCGGAGTTGGATCGATCGATTCGCACTGCTAATGAGACCCAATCAGGTCAAAACAGTTGTTCAGTACTTCCTAGCTTTTCAATTCATGCTTTCTTTGCTTTTCACACGACAAAATTTATCATTTAATGAAGCCAAATTGTCCATCATTTTTATATTGCCTACTGATTATTGTCCATCTGTCCTAGGTCAGCCGATAATGATAAAACCCTGGTAAAATCACGCAATTCACACCGATAGAAAGCAATCATTTTGGTAAACATATTACATTTAAAAAGGACTACGGTAAATTAATGCGCTCCATAGGATAATCATTATAACACCTTTTTATCACAGGAAAATAATTTTGACACTTCAACTTTATGCCTATTTGACAATATCTGAAACTGGGGAAATACAGAATTTTACAAAATCTAATGTGTGATCAATCTGTCCGGCTTTTTATCGGTTCTGCATTGTTCACCACTTGAGATACAGACTGGTAATTTTGCACACACATCCCGTAATCTCGCAATTGTGTCGTTTGTTCGCCTCGGCTTGTGACAGATTCATAAACAGCCTTCTAGGTGATATAATATTCATTTATTCTTTTGGATTATTTTTCTTCAAATTTACCTCAGATGTGTTGTTTTCTTTAGTTAACTTATGCCAACCTTAATTAATGCGGTTCGATATATGATAAACAAGTTACCAGGCCATTTTCGGTTTGATATCTTGATTCACAGCTAGCCACAGTTGAGTTGCTAGGCTACACACTAGTTAGAATTAGAAAATCCTTTTTTCGTTCCAGAACACATTGTGCAGCAGTCGATCTCGTCAAATGTGTACCTTACCGCACGTGATACGTGTTTTCCGAATGATACTTCTAGATTTAAAGTTGAAACAAACTTCCAGGTTTTTTATTCACCCTTAGTTTTCCCTTATCAATTTTATTGACTTCATAATATTTAACCATTTAAAAACGTACTGCATTTTCTCATACCGGATCTGCTCATCCTCTTCACATTGACCCGATCGGACAAGCTTCTGTTTCTTACAGTATACTCAATTAGGAGCTTATTCGTGCACGGGTACTAAATTAGTTCAATCATTGTGCATACCCTATCCAGTGAAATGCCTAACTAAAGGTCAGTCAATCAATCGAGAAAGTACATTTATCAATCAATCTATCAATCTATCTACTTACCGAGCTATACGATTTGCGAGTAAGTATGATGCTAATGCAACAATAAAAGCAGAAAGAAGGATTCGCGGACAATTGCGAACAATGGGGAAAAACAATTACACAGCACAAAAAGATCAAGGAAAACAATAGTGACTTTTCGTTTGCTTTACCATACATCAAAACAGAACTGTATCGGACTTACCTCGTCTTCAGACTCCGAGCTGTCTTGATCAGGCAATTGTGGAGTTGTACTCTCGGCCGTAGTCGGTCTAGAAGAATGTATACAAGCGGTTAAATAAAGGAGATAACATTCCAGATAATTGGACATCCAAATATGCGGTTCGTTTTACACTTTTATTCAACGTTGAATCGATTAATGATTGCCCTATAAATAATAATAATTCACAGCGATTCTTATCATTAAACCACTTGACTTGACCTGTTTACCTGATATATTTGCCAGAATAATCTGAAGACAAGTTACGAAATCCATATGCATCCTCAAATTATTCTCAGATGGCTTTAAAAATGTTTTATTCGTCATACATTAAATCTGCATCAATAGTCACTGAAAACACTTGCAACAAGCAATAAATCTGATTTGTTATGTTTATAAGGAATCATCAGTAATGCATATTGTTTGCAATTCTTATCTAGATATGCGAGCTGGATAATCAGACACATCTATGACTTTGGTTTTCCTGATTAATCCACCGTACTTGGGCCTATACGGATAGTGCATCATTAGATGGTCGTTTGTTATGACTTTGTCAAGTGTTGACTGAAGTCCTAGTCTGTGACTCCCCTGAATGGGTCTACTACAACTGAGAATGATTTGACAAAGGGTTTGAATTCCCCACGCCGAGGAGTTAATAGTTTGCAACCTTTTTTCGGTTTATTCCCCCTCCTCAGAGAGTTTCTTCAATGATTTTTTCTTTTTAACCTAATTATGCTGTTAATTCAAAGAAAATGATGAATACATTATATATTTGCGAAGTTAAAGATTATTACTTATTCTGAATCACTTTCATCAGAAGTTCTGCAGAATGGAGAATGATTATCTGAAATTCTGTCTTTCGGTACTACTTAGTTGTATGCTTCTCGGTAATGGATGTGAGTGACTTCAAAGCCTCTAATCTCGGGGATTCGAGCACCTTGTGTTTATGAAACCATAATTGGCATTATTTGAACATCTTTTCGTTAATCTTGTTTTATCCTGTCTGCCGAAAAAATTTTTTTCAAGCGCCTGCATCAATCGATTCAAACGAAATTTAAATTCAAATATCAATGGCACCAATCAACATACCTTGTTAGAGGAAGCAATCGTACGGAGGAGCGTCGACGCATCAAAAACGATGGTCGCCTGGTTGGTTGGTCTGAGAAAGGACAAATATATGCCAACTATAATTTATCTATTTAAACAACCTGTGGAATGTATAAATGTGTGAATATTTCGTTTCATAAATCAAAGTAATTAATACATGTTGAGGCAAATATCGCTTTGCAATATCTATTCCTGCGAAGTGATATCAATCATTCAGTGCTAGTGTGTCTGTCCCCTGCAGTTCAGGGTTTGAACATTTAATCAACTGACCACTACCACTACCACCACATCCACCACCAAAAACAACAACAACATTACTCTTGACTGTAAGTTTCATCATGTAAGTTTATATTTTACACACTGGCACAGTTTCCGTTGGTATCCTGCAGCTCCGTGCAATAGAACACTCTTTCTAGTCTCAGCGATCTTAAACCATGTTTATTTTAGCAATGTTCAGTTGTCCGCAACTTTTCAGTACAGTTCTTATCGTCTCTTGTAAAATTTCGCTCTCCGATTTTGTTCTTGAAATTTCTCACGCGATGGTAATCTAATCTAATCCATGAACCCATACCGATGGAATGGTAGGATAAGCCGGACTTTTGACATACACGTTCCACCCGTTTTAATTCCAGAAGGTGGTGCTGGTCGAGGATAGTCGCTTACTAAAGATTACAGATAGGATATCACCAATTTGTCATACACAACACAAAACATCTCATCAGAAGTATACCATCACTGTTCCTGGCAGCATATCGAATAATTCATAGGACAGTCGGCAGTTATTCTTTCAGACACATCACTTGGCCCTCGGTGGTCTTGTTATATTTTTTATCATTGAAAGTTACCTACTACTCACAAATGAGTAGCATCTCACAACACATTCACTAAAGATCGGCAGATTTCGAATGGTCTGCAGGTGTCAAAGGGACCTTCAGAAGCATAATACCACCTAAAGAATTGGAGTTCGTTATTAAAGAAAAAGACTGTACCTTTTTGTTTTATTAGATTCTCAGAAAAGGCGAGATTTTTGTTTGGGCCTAAGCTACACCTATGGCAGCATTCTGCACTTTGAAAATGGAAAATTCACACTGAACGTCTCCACACCCCTGCTGATTATGCTGCCTAGAAAAGTTAGCTTCGTGTTTCAACCTTACATCTGCATAATCCTGCTCAGAAATGTAATGAGAGAGTAGATAAATAAGGCTATCATCGGCCACAAGTAATTGTAGCAAAACGGACCGTCACATCTCTGTTTCAGTCTGACAACAGACAGTAATTTACTGATGCCGGCTCACAGTAACCTAAGTTTACAATTCTGACTACTCGCTAGTAGTTGATGTTGCTTATATAAAATGCATTTATTTTAGTTCATGGGAGTGATAAATTTGCTAGACTTACTGCTCCCCTGAGCGCTTGGCATTGTGAACATTTTTCGGGATTCTTCATCTTTCATATATCGTTTCGTTAGAATTCGTCTTTCGCGAATTTCTCTCAATTTTTCTCGTGCCTGATCAGGAATGAGTCTTTCCAAAAAGTCTCGATACAGTTTATAATCAATGAGAATCTCTTTCAGACGATTGATTTCCGCAATGATTTTGAGCTGCTGCCCGGTGAGTTGTTTAATTTCATCGCTCATTGCAGCTCGCTTTCTGGATTCCTGTTCTGCACTGAAAAAATAGTAGTATATCATTTGCGCGTTATTCGGGAGATTATAAGTAATATGAACGTAATTTCAAGAAATAATAATAATAATAATAATAATAATAATAATAATAATAACGACAACAATAAACAGAGAACAAAATTAGAATAAGAAAAGAGAATCAACATGAAAATAAAACCTACTTCACCGTAGAAAGCAGCCCCAAAAATGCACCATGATTTTAGCATACGAATTGATGCTGAAGAAAAAACCTTGTACTCAGATCAGGAAGAACAGAATGATGTCATCGTTCCACAGTACATATGCAGTGCAAACCACCCTAATGGTCTCAGCCTAGTCAGTTGAATTATCTATTTTTTTCATTAATTCTTGTCGGTTTTGAATCTTACACAAAATGCGTGGCTTTCTACAAATTCGCATTGTTTTAACCGTTATGAGTAATCGAAACTTGCCACTTGACTCCTATTATAATTAATTTACAATTAAATTTTATCAAAAACCAAATAGTTGAATTTCACTGACGTAAAATCCTAAATATTCAGTTGGAATTTACTAAAACAGTAAGACTTTTTGGAATCCAGACGATGCACAAAGTGTTCCTGAATGCAGTTTAGTTCAGTTCATTTTACAAAACCGTCGACTATTCTCCTTCTTGCGGCTNTTTTGGTTGCTGTCCTTCGGCCGCACATTTGGATGAAGCTGTAGAGAACAGATTAGGAGGTTGAAAGTAGTTTCAACGTGAAAATAGAGAATTCTGTTAGACTGAAGTTGTTAAGACACTGAGTAGATTTTCCGAGCCTCACTGCTTGCGACATTTGAATACATCATTGAGTGTCTCTAACCATCCGATAAGCAAAATAACCGCAAAGGCGTGCATGCAAGTAGTACACTAATACTTTGGAGCAATGCTCTAAAGCACTAATATGCTCCTTCTCCTATTTCTCAAGAAACCGCGTTCATTTTGGCCTGCACTGAAAACAATGTGGTTTTAGCATTGAATAGTTGAGACTAGTTGGTTTAGTTAAGGAACCTATAAAAGCATAGATCAGACGTTAAAAATAACTGGTATATTTTTGTTATCGTTTTGCATCCAAATTTTTTTTATCTAATTACAATTTGCAGTATTTTTCACCGCAAGCAATGAATTAAACAACGGAGGTATAACCACTTAGTATTCTTAGTAAAAAGCCTTCCAACAGACAGAGAATCAACTCACGCGGCAATCGCTTCCACGGAACTTTTGTCATTGTCCCGCAGAAATTCATCAAACAGTGCAGCATCTTGTTCCAGGCACTGTTCAGCTAATTCCAACTTTTTCTCCTCTCTACGAGCCAACTCCTCGAGACGACTAATCTCATGTTTTTGAACCGCGATTGAGTACTCGGCCAGGAACATTTTACGTTGGTTTGCAATGTACTCCTGATACGTTTCATTCTCGACATGTCTGCCTGTATGGGCGTGAAATTTTAGTTTCCAAATCAGACGGTCCGATTCACCTCGAGCACTCACCTTTGGTACTGTCCAAAATAATTTTTGTATTGTCTTCTTGTTGTTCCCTAGAACTTTCCCCATCGTCATCATCCGCCAGAACAGCTTTTCGTGATGGGGCTTGTTTTCCCGCGTTCGTTTTATCCACTAATTTCAGTTTACGCAAACGTTCGTTCTCCTACGAGATTCGTTCACTTTCTCACTTCAACAAAAAGCAAACCTCTTTTCGGAGACGTTTATCCATATCACGTATGTCGAAAATGGACTGAAATTCCGGTAGTTTGAATGGATTGCATTTGATTTGCAAACCGGACTGTGGCATTCTGGTGTATTGACTTAGACTCTCAGTCGGATCTTTGTATGCGAAATCAAAGGAATGTGGTGATCTCAGGGCAATGTTCTGCAAACAAATACACGCAAAGTTCAATAAGAAAATGAGCCATTATTACAAAAATGGAAAATCTGTTTAGACTTTAGTCTGCGAGAAAAATCAGTTCATCAACAGTTAACACACGATAAAAAATATCCTTATCTTTTTCAATGAAATTGGATCGATGAAAAAAACACCTATTCCTTAAAGTGTCAAAACATGTTTACCAAAGAATGTGAGTATTCAAAAGTGATTTAATTCAGTCTGGCTTGTGCTAAACCGATACTCAAACTTTAGGTCTATGTATACAAACACCCAACCTGGCAAATGGTTAAGTAAAATGGTAATGTTTCCAAGGCGAGATTGGGCATCTCTCAGTTTCAGTTTCAGTTTACACAACCATTAACCATGCACTATCGTGCGCCGGTTTTGGTTGCTATATTTCGGCTGCCCATATTGATGAACATTAGGAGAAAGACAGGAAAGGTTGAAAGTAGGATCGAAGGGAAAATTGAGAAGCTAAGTGGACTAATGATACAGAGAAATTGAGATGCAAGAACGCCACTGTTTACGACACCCAGCCATATCAC